GCTGGCTGAGGAACTCTGGGAGTTGAAGTCCACAAGTCTTAAAGTTGCCAAGGTTGGACACCCCTGGTCTACATGAAAGGCATGGACTTCCAGCAGGAGTGATTTAATATTTTTTTAGCCTGCCTTTATGACTTTTATAAATGAATCAATATTTATTTATAAAATACCTAATGCTCCATCCTCCTCCTATTTTCCCCATTAAAAAAAAACTCTGAGGTGGGACGGGCTGGAGAGAATGACTGGCTCAAAGTCTTCTAGCCGTCTTTTCGTGCTTAAGATGGGACTAGAACTCATGGACTCCCAAAGTCACACTACTCAGCTTTCATGCCTCACACAGAAGTGGAACTCGGTCTCCTGAAAATTGGCTTTAAATCATCCAGCTGGTTTTCATGCCTGAAGAGAGACTAGAACTCGGCCTCCTGGTGGTTGGCCCAAAGTCACCCAGCTGTTCTGACCCAGGCTTCCCCAACAGCATGAAGCCGACTCCTCGTCCCGATAAACCCCTTTTATTTAGTCTACAGTGAATTCCTCTCCAGCAAAGTCCCGGCCAACAGTCTTTCAAGAGATTTCACAATTGCAGACCTTTATCAGGCTTGGAGAGTTGCCAGGCCGATATCTTTCAGACGCCACACTGTAGCAAGAATGCAGGAACAGATCTTCACCCAAATGAACTAATTGTCTCCTGCAAAACCCCACTCCCCTTTCGTTCCTCTTTTATTCCCTATGGGAGGGGCCATTCACCGCCCATCTGTGGCTTTACTCCCAAGTTGACCCTTGTTCCTTAGCTGTTCCCTTCTTCGGGCAGCTCTGTGCATGTGCACACTGGGAACAGGCTCCAGCTGTTCTTCTTCCTCCCTGATGTCCGACTCTGAAGGCAGCTGATAACTGGCCCCATCTCTGCCTCTGATGCAGAGCACTCGTCAGAGCCTTCCCCAGACTCCAGGACTGGCCCCTGTTCCTCCCCAACCTCTTCACTGTCCGAATCTGCTGCCAGCTCTGCTGGCTGCTGGTGGGCCGTAACACCAGCCAGCTTTCATGCCTCAGTCAGAACTAGAACTCGGTCTCCTGGAGATTGGTCCTAAATCACCCAGCTGGTTTTCATGCCTCGGGGGGAACCAGAACTCACAGTCTCCTGGTGATCGGTACCGCTGGCTTTCATGCCTAAGGCAAGACTAGAACTCACAGTCTCCTGGAGATCGACCAAAAATAACCCAGCTGGCTTTCATACCTAAGGCAGGATTAGCACTTACACTCTTTTGATTTCTAGCCTGAACAAATACAGCTGAATTCTGAACACTATGATTTATTTTATGAGGAGGAATGGGGGTGTTTCTGTTTGGTGACCATGAGATTCTCCATCAATCCTTAAAGCCTGTCCTGCTAGATCTTACTTGCTCAGTGTCGTGAATACAAGCAATGGCACCATTATATTTGGTGTCTTTGGGGGCACAAAGAAAGGACCATTCATGACTGGGACATGTTTATTTGTTTTTATCCTGAAGGATGTGTTTTTAGCAAGAACAATGGGTTTTCATCCAGACCTGGTGACATTGGGTGGCCTTCAAAGAAGTGGGCCAGTAGAAATTGGGAAAATAGTATTATGTATAGTGAGACATAATACTGTAGAATACATTATAATTACTATGTATATGTAAATATTAGAAGTTGAAAGATTATTATTTATACCTAGATAGTATTATTATTGTTATTACTATTATGTATAATATACATTAACCTAGACAATTCACTGTTCACTAAGCACTTATGGATGCTTAGATAGATAGATAGATAGATAGATAGATAGATAGATAGATAGATAG